ACACTTTCACACACAGTGACTTTTACACGCAGAAGCTTTTACAGACAGAAGCTTTTACACACAGGCGCTTTTACACACAGAAGGTTTTACACACAGAAGCTTTTACACACAGATGCTTTTACACACAGACGCTTTTACACACAGACACTTTTACACACAGACGCTTTTACACACAGACACTTTTACACAGACGCTTTTACACACAGAGGCTTTTACACACAGAAGCTTTTACACACAGAGACTTTCACAAGCAGGCACTTTTACACGCAGAAGCTTTTACACACAGACGCTTTTACACACAGAAGCTTTTACACACAGAACCTTTTACACACAGACACTTTTACACACACAGACACTTTGACACACAGACGCTTTTACACACAAATGCTTTCACAAACAGAGACTTTTACACACAGACACTTTTACACACAGACGCTTTACACACAGACGCTTTTACACACAGAAGCTTTTACACACAGAGGCTTTTACACACAGACGCATTTACACACAGACGCTTTTACACATAGAAGCTTTTACACACAGAGGCTTTTAGACACACACGCTTTTGCACACAGAAGCTTTTACACACAGACGCTTTTACACACAGAGACTTTTACACACAGACGCTTTTACACACAGACACTTTTACACACAGACGCTTTTACACACAGGCGATTTTACACACATACGCTTTTACACAAAAACACTTTCACACACAGAGGCTTTTACACACAGAAGCTTTTACACACAGAAAGCTTTTACACAGAGACTTTTACACACAGATGCTTTTACACACAGACACTTTTACATACAGACACTTTTACACACAGACGCTTTTACACACAAATGCTTTCACAGACAAACACTTTCACACACAGACGCTTTTACACACAGACGCTTTTACAGACAGAAGCTTTTACACACAGACGCTTTTACACACAGACGCTTTTACCCAAAAACACTTTCACACACAGAGGCTTTTACATACAGAAGCTTTTACACACAGAAGCTTTTACACACAGACACTTTTACACACAGACGCTTTTACACACAGACGCTTTTACACACAGACACTTTTACACACAGAAGCTTCTACACACAGAAGCTTTTACACACAGACGCTATTTTACACACAGACGCTTTTACACAAAAACACTTTCACACACAGAGGCTTTTACACACAGAAGCCTTTACACACAGACGCTTTTACACACAGAAGCTTTTACACACAGAGGCTTTTACACGCAGACCCTTTTACACACAGACGCGTTTACACATAGAAGCTTTTACGCGCAGTCGCTTTTACACACAGAAGCTTTTACACACAGAAGCTTTTACACACAGACGCTTTCACACACAGAAGGTTTTACACACAGAAGCTTTTACACACAGATGCTTTTACACACAGACGCTTTTACACACAGACACTTTTACACACAGACGCTTTTACACACAGACACTTTTACACAGACGCTTTTACACACAGAAGCTTCTACAGACAAACGCATTCACACACAGGCGCTTTTACACGCAGAAGCTTTTACACACAGAAGCTTTTACACACAGACGATTTTACACACAGACGCTTTTACACAAAAACACTTTCACACACAGAGGCTTTTACACACAGAAGCTTTTACACACAGAAAGCTTTTACACACAGAGACTTTTACACACAGATGCTTTTACACACAGACACTTTTACATACAGACACTTTTACACACAGACGCTTTTACACACAAACGCTTTCACAGACAAACACTTTCACACACACAGAGGCTTTTACATACAGAAGCTTTTACACACAGAAGCTTTTACACACAGACACTTTTACACACAGACGCTTTTACCCAAAAACACTTTCACACACACAGAGGCTTTTACATACAGAAGCTTTTACACACAGAAGCTTTTACACACAGACACTTTTACACACAGACGCTTTTACACAGACACTTTTACACACAGACACTTCTACACACAGAAGCTTTTACACACAGACGCTTTTACACAAAAACACTTTCACACACAGAGGCTTTTACACACAGAAGCCTTTACACACAGACGCTTTTACACACAGACGCTTTTACACACAGAAGCTTTTTACACACCAGAGACTTTTACACACAGACGCTTTTACACACAGACGCTTTTACACACAAATGCTTTCACAAACAGAGACTTTTACACACAGACACTTTTACACACAGACGCTTTACACACAGACGGTTTTACACACAGAAGCTTTCAAAATCGCAGTCTTACCACAGTTTTTAGCGATCGAACCTCATTTCGCGAAAAAGTTGTCGCGGACACTTCAAAATTGCAATTTTTCCAACAGTTTTTGGCGATCGAACCTCATTTCGTGCGAAAGGGTTGTCGCGGACACTTCAAAATCGCAATTTTACTTCAGTTTTTGGTAATCGAACCTCGTTTCGTGCGAGAGGGTTGCGTTTCGTGCCGTCTCGTTGGCACTTAAGAGAGAAATAGAAAAGAAGGAGAGAGCAAGAGGGTAGGAGAGCAAGAGGGCAAGAGAGCAAGAGGGCAAGAGAGCAAGAGGGCAAGAGAGAATGTGAAGATGTGAAGATGTGAAGATGTGAAGATGTGAAGATTGATGTGAAGATGTGAAGATTGATGTGAAGATGTGAGGATGTGAAAATGTGAAAATGTGAGGATGTGAAGATGTGAAGATGAGAAGATGTGAAGATGAGAAGATGTGATGTGAAGATGAGAAGATGTGAAGATGAGGAGATGCTAAGTGAAAATGTGAAGATGTGAAAATGTTTGAGGGACCCCCACTATTAGAAAAACCCTTCGCTCAGACGCTCTCGAGAAAAACGTCATAAACCGCCCCTGTTAAACGTGACCGGCCGCAATGTGTCCACTGTTTCTGTGTTGGGCATTGCCAGGTGCAGAGCTGGGAATGATAGTGAACCGCAGTCGGAAAGTATGTGGGTGATCTAAACGATTCATGGTAGCATGTCAAATCGCAGAGAAGGGATGCAGAGCAAAGGATGCATCGAAAGGGACTGAATGTTACAGATTCTTCAGGCCACAGTCGCAACTTGTCAGGTTATCGGTGCAACAGGGACGTGGAGGATCAGTGTGAGATGGTCTGCAACCAAACACCAGTCAATTTTTCCAATTTTTTTCCTCTTCAGACCTTGGGGGGGTTATGAGATGTTGAAATGTGGTATGGAGATGTATAAGACAAAAACTCCTTGGCCGACCGGGGGATGAACCAACTTGAACTCTGAGGAATGCACAGAAATGGTCGCATAGATGCCATGAAACGCCGCCGGAACAGATGTGAAAACATGATGCTCTTGCAGTGATGCAAACCTCCAGCCGAAGATGACCCGTGAGTTCAGAAAAATGAAGCGCAGTTTGCACTGCAGCATGAGAACAGTTAGGTCTTGCCGCTGTTGCCACTGTTGCTAGTCTTGGCTCACTTTCCAGCATAACTGACCACCGCAACCGTGCAGACGGTGCAGACGGTGCAGGGGGATTCGCTGGACGTCTGACGTCGTTTGGCTCGAGGCGCTGCCGCCGCTGTCTGCTCCATGTCCTGAAGCACTGCAGGGCCGCTCCGTCGCTCCGTGCCGTCCTCGGTTGCGACGTGCGCCACGGCTGAGCCACGGCGACGGCTGTTCCACGGCTGAGCGGCTGAGGTTAGCGAACTCTTCGAAACTTCTAGGCGGACAGATCGGACAGCCGATAGCTCGAAAGAATTGAGAACATTAACCGTAAATTTAGTAAAGTTTCCGGTTCTGTCGCATTTTCCCATCCTATTTTCTGTTCTTTTCTCAATACTCTGTCCATCTCTGTCCCAATCTATGGCTATTCTCGATGGAACTTCTTAGTAACATGGTCTTTAGTTCATGATTCAGTTTCATGTATCCGGATGGCATGTTTCAGCCTGCCGCCTGAATCACAGGCCTCAGACGCTTCTGAGGGCAGGGAAACAAAACAAACAAAAACTCTGTCCCAATCTAGTGCGCCTATCGTGTGTCATGGTGCATGTCAGCACTGGCCATGTGGTTTAGCCAGCAAAAGTCTCCATTGTTTGGATGAACCCACCTTGATCTTTCTGTTTGGATGTTGCCTTCCCAGAGTCTCTTTCGCATCTGCAGAAATGACCTGAGAGCACCTGCAGGTCTTTCCGCCAGATGCGGATATGGGCGCTCGCGTTTCTTTCCATCGCGTGTGCCATCAAACCAGCCAAGGCGGAAACGGAGTTTTGATGAGTTTCGGGGTCGCCAAAGTTGATGCGGTTGATGTGTCACCTTGGTGACTCGAAAAATCTCATCACTTGGTGGACTTGGTCGACTTGACCAGGTTTCACTCGACAATACCCTGGACAGAGAGGAGACTGGGAGACTGTATCAGCAGCTGTAGTCAAGTTGTGCAGAGGAATCATGTTTTTGATATTTTTTGATATGACAATACGTTACACATACTGTGCCTGCTGGCGCCTATGGCAGATTCTTTCGGCTTGATGCCGACATTCACATACAGGAGGGACAGTTTCTCAATCAACCTCCTGAGAATGAAAATTCCAAGGCACGAACTGCCACCTTTGCAGTTTGAATTCCAGCACATCCGTGTCAGATTTGTTGGGCGTGGTTCTCTGGATGTTGAAGTCATCAAATTGTCAAGATTTGTCAAGCACAGGGCCCTCCACGGCCCTTTTGGGTCTTCGACACGGATGCTTTGATGAGCCAAGAGGTACGGAGCATCGAGCATCGCTTCCAACGCTAGGAGTTTGTTGAAGTGTAAACTTGAGGCCTTTCATTTCGTTCAAGAAGTGAGCTAGGGACCAGGGAAAATTGTGGGATAATTGTCGTATGCAGCCCAAGGTGTACCAAATCAATGTAATGTATATTAATGTATCGATATTTCTTTCCAAAATTGAAGGATCATCTAATCAAGCATCTATCTGAATCTATCTCATCTTTCTCGGCATTGTTTATGGCAGGCCTTGAACTGTTGCCTCGTTATGGCTGCAGCTGGTGTTCTGTGTGCAGCTGGTGGAATTGGAGGTGGAGGTGACGCGGTCAGATTTAGCAATTCAAACGGAGTTTGATCTTGGAACTTCTTGGAACTGAAAATCGAAAAGTACCACAAGTAGCATTGTTTCATATATTTTCATATTGTTTCAGTGTTGAAATATTCTTGAAATCGATGTCCATGTGAACCGAGGCATCTATGTGACTGTGCTCATGGTGGCTGGAGGTGTGGCCGATTTACCATCGATTTACCATCGATTTACCATCGATTTACCATCGATTTACCATCGATTTACCATCTGCCAAGATCTGCCAATATCTGCCATGTCGTGGCTGCCCTCTGGGAGGTCTCAGAGTGCGGGATGCGGTGCCGCTGAGCAAATCCGTAGTCTTCATCGGATCCATCGCCTCGTTGATCCTGAACCTCAGGCGGTGGCTAGGGCGGCTAGGGATAGGGCCAGGCACGGGGGGAAGGCTACGGTTGTGCTGGTTGGGGTTTGATTCTTTTTGCATAATATGATTCATTTCATTCATTTCAGGGTTTCATGATATACTAAAAGCATCTAAAAGCTTTGATTGAATACGGTCATAGATTCTACTGTATAGATCATACATGTGCCTTGATGGATCCAGAGGCCCCAACTTCAAGAAACCACGCGGGCCCTGTGATGTCAGGAAGGCTACTGCGACCCGTGAGTCCTTGATCGACTACCACGTCTGTCGCGTCGTGCCTGGACGGACTTCACACGGACATAGCATGCTGTAGCTGCTGTAGCAGCTGTAGGGTGTTGTGGTCCTGCACCAAGGTGGTTCCTGGAGCTTTGGTAGGGACCTATTTGGGCGTCATCCTGAATTCCATCGTGCCGGGCTGGGCTCATCCCTCAGAAAAATACCACTAACAGAGAAGTCATGAGAAGTCCATAGTGGCAGTAGATTTAGATAGATTTAGTAGATGATGATCCCATATGATCCCATTTCACAGACAAGAAGGGTTTCGAAAAAGGTAGCATCCCCAAGCCCATGTGTGACTCGAGAATCTAATGCAACATCCGCGATTCCGTAGCCTCTTGTAGCCCAGGCAGTGCTGTTAGCTTTGGTTGGCATTTTGATTGCCATCTCCTACATGATTCTTCAAACCACCTGGCAACAGCACAGCCCTCAAAATGGCCTCAAAATGGAGCCAAATAGACAGTACCGTACTGCAGCCCGATGCAGCCCATGTGGTGCGTGGCAAGGTGTGACAATGTTCTCTTCAACACATGCGGAAATTCCCCAAAAACAAAACACCAATGGATTTAACAGATTCAAACACTCAATTGATCAGGCAGTCGTTGGTTGCTTCACCACTGCTGTGGCCAGGTATGCCGAGGAAGAGCACCTCCGGAGATTGCCGCAGCTACCAAAGGCCAGCGACTCCAACGTTTCAAAGGACGCCGAAAAAGCGGTCGGATGATCACCAAAATAGGTTGGTTATGGGTGGTTATTCTATGTTATTCTCATGCTTGGGATATATGGACATTTATAAAATTTAACATGATTTTTGTGAAGTGGAAAATTAAGGAGTCTAACACATGGGATTCGAGGATAGGGTGTTAATACTGCTAGGGTCTGGTTGGAGGGACATTGTGGGACTGTTTTTTGGCAGTTGATTTCACACCACTGGATGGTCAAAAAACACCAGTGGATTCACACCAAGCAGTGCTACCAAGCACTCAGAGAGTTGCAACAGGACACTGTACCCGAGGTTTCCGCACTTTGGAAGACACACGAGGCCATGGGTTTTCGAATTCGCAGGCACTGTGGAGATCTGTGGTTTCACCGAGGTGCAGCAATACACTGCCACAGATCTCCTGCTGTCAGCTGCTGGATCCTCAGAATCACGCAGTGATCAAAAAGATGATGTGATGTGGGTTCAATTGACCAAAAACATGAATGAAAATCACAACAATAATTAAATAGTAGAAGGATGAATAGGAATTCAAAGGATGGATTCTTGATTGAACCTATTAATTGATTGAAATTAAACCATTTTTCAACGAATTTTTCACGCCTTTGTTTTCAAAATAGGAATCTCCTTCGGCTGCGTGGCTTCGGCTCTTCAGAGGTCATGCTGCTGGTGGTGGTGACGGGCAGCGCCTTTCGTCACCACGCCATCCGTTGCCAAATTGCGCCCGAAGCAGAGCGCCTGAAGGCGTTGCTGAACCAAAACAGCTGCTGAAGCTGTACAACAGCCATGGTGATTTAGTGATTTCCGACACAGCTTGACCTTTTGACCTGGTGGAAAGTTCAGGCCTGTCATCACCCCAGCCTCTTCTGGTTGGATGCGAATACATTGATGACTTGGATGCAGACACCTAGCACCGCTGCTTTCATCAAGGCAGACGGGCACAGAGCAATGCAGAGCAATGCAGAGCAATGCAGAGCAATGCAGAGCAATGGTAGGAGAGTGATGGTACAAAGAATATCGAAGAATATCAAAGAGAATGATGAATGCACAGTGACTTGATGATCGAGGAGGGTTTATTTCCGAAATTTTCCGAACATGCGTGGTGACTGTGAGTTGGTGAGCCGTGATGCTTGGAGTTTGCTTTCTTGGCAAAGCAAATCCTTGGCCTTTGACATTCAAACCCCAATGTTGTATTAGAAGAGCATTTTTGTGTTCCACACTCCTTGCCATTTCAGTATGCTTTCAGCATGTCACGAAAGCTAGCTGTGCTAGCTGAAGTTGCTCTTGCTTTAGAAAGGAATAGGCAGGGAGCAGGACCATTGGAAACCTTGAAACTTTCCAGTTAAGTTACCCCCCCCCCCGCCGGGCCCAGATTCGATCCCCCCCCCTGGTCCCCCGCGAGCCCCCCCCGAGAGGAGATTTCCGGCTGGTAGAGGGTGATCATCATCCTCATTTTCATCTTCATCCTCACCCTCCTCATCCTCATCATCCGCAGCATCCACATCATCATCATCATCATCATCATCATCATCATCATCATCATCATCATCATCATAGTCATCATCATCATCATAATAATAATCATTAGCATCATCATCATCATCATCATCATCATCCTCATCATCCTCATCCTCATCCTCATCATCATCATCATCATCCTCATCATCCTCATCATCCTCATCCTCATCCTCCTCCTCATCATCATCATCATCATCGTCCTCCTCCTCCTCCACCTCCTCCTCCTCCTCCTCCCCCTTATCATCATTATCATCATCATCATCATCATCATCACCACCATCACCATCACCATCACCATCACCATCATCATCATCATCATCATCCTCATCCTCATCCTTATCAATTATCATACATAATATGTTGCATTGTCTCGAACATCTTTCTGCAGATTCGGGCTTCCATTTGGGGGGCGTTTTTTTTTGACATTGCGTTTCTTTTGCTTACAACACTTGGCGAGAGACGATTACTGCATCGGGGGGTTTTCGCTTGCTGGACTCAATAGATTTTGCAACCCTACAACAGCCCGTTGCCGCATTCCGACTTCACCTTGCTAATCCCCCTTTACGATTACCACCCTACCCCAGCCCTGCTAGCTTTCGTACCTCCCCCCTGGCCTCAAGTTTTGGTTGAAGGTCTTCTTTTTTGCTGGACCTTTGATCTTTTGCGTGACTGTTCTGGCTTGCGTGGTCCAGCCCTTACATGTTTTCCCGACAGCTTGGCACTGCAGCAACTCGGTGGCTGTATGCTGGATACTGCTGCGTACTGCTGGCTGTTGAGGTCACAAATCTGGTCAAAGCTGCTACCTCAGCTGTATCCACAGCAGTCACAGCAGCCACCCAGAACGACATCATTTCCCAGTTGTCCCAGTTGTCCCAGTTTCCATGTGCCACATTTGCAGTCATGTGCAGTCATGTGCAGTCTCTGTGTCGCATTGTGTCGCACTTCTCATCCACTCAGATTGGTTGGTCTCCGGCTTTGGCCCTGAAATTCAGCCTGATGAGCATGACCACTGGATGCTTAGCAGGCCCAGTTGCTGCTGTCGTCACAGCTGTTTCTGTTCATCTGGCAGAGGGAACCACTACCAATACCACTACCATCCGCTACCAACCTGTCATCCTCCTGCACCAGGTTTCGTTGGTATCGGAGGAGGACATGCGATGACCACGTGTCAGTCGATATAGCGAATCGCTTTCGACCACATCTGAAGCACGTGAAACACGTGAAATGGTCGTTAAACAGATTTAAATTAAACGGTTAAACATAGTTGCTACAGTGCTACATGTTACTACCATTGTTGATTTACATCGGGACACCTCAAGTATAGGAACTTTCAGGGCACTGTCACTTTCCAGCATTTCGATGCATTCCTGTGTCACAAGTATTGTGGCACACATGACTGACCAAGTGACCAGGTAGCCAAACCAGCTGTGTTTTGTTGTGTGTTTTCCAGACTTCCAGCGACTTCCAGTGACTTCCAGGATTGATTTTCTCGCCCTACTTCCTGCTGATGGGCTTAGAACCTGCCACTGCTGTGGCGACATCTTCCACTTGTGTCATTTTCACATCTTCTTCGACGACCTTCCAGCGCCTCGGCCAATCTATGATGCTTTCCAATGCTTTCCAGATGTTGAAATGGTTTTCCACGGATTTTCCAGATTTTGACATTCCAACAGCAACATGCCACTTGCGATGACCTGCGGAAGCCCCCCAGTGCCAGGTATCTTTTGACGGCCAGCTCCTTGGGGGTTTGGGACGGACATCGATTCGCCACGATTCGCAGCGATTCGCGGCGATTCACCAAGGATCGCATCATCGTCTCGTTGATGCTTTTGTATGGGCTGGTGAACTGGGTCTCTTCCTATGCAGGGACTTCCATGGTGCACCACCTGCAGGACAGTGGGTAGGGGGAAGGGAGAAAACCCATGGAAGCTGCTGGGGTTTGGGAAAGATGCGAGATGGTCATGAGCTGATTTGTAAGTTGAACATTGGTCAGATGGATGATTTTCCCTAAAAGCCCAGAACAAAGTATTATTGCAATTATACATCGTCTAATTATTACAACTTGTAGTATCAGGGCATGTTACGACGACAAACCTGTACCACTTGAGATCCCACCGACAGGACCAGTTGAGCACAAGACGGTCCTTCATCACTGGCATCGTGTCCTTAGGGGTTTTAATCAGCACCCTCTTGGCTGTGAGAGAACTGATCTTTGAGGCCAGCTGAGAAAGTTGGATGACGCCAGTTGGGGTAGTGGAGATTTCTTGGACGTTCGACAGTTTGAGATGACCCAATGGAAATGCAGGGAACATGGGTAAACATATAGTCATGAGTCATAATAGTACAGTAGTTGGCGAAGTTTCTCATGTGCAACGGTCAAGTTTCATGATTTATATTCACATAAAGGTGGATGGTCATCAATCCATTATGAGGATTCCCAACATGGTAGATGATGGTAGATGACCATAACCCATACATTGTGCGTTTGACCATGGCACAAGGCACACATGTATTTTTCCATATTTTTTGTCTCCCCCGAAGATGGCCGGAACAATCCTGATTCTGACAGAGAATTTGTAACATTTTGTAACTCATAAGCTCAGTAAGCTCCACTTTGCACATCTTCATAGTGAATGAGCAGCTGGCAGATGCCAGTCACACATTCCTTGATCTCCTCGGAAGTACAGCACCCTCACAGAAACAACAGGAATGATATGGATTGACCCATGTGCTGCGGCAGGTGTTTTGAGACTCCGAAAGAATGAGATTCACCATGTGTCACCTGCCCTGGAAGAAGACATCATAGCTTTGGAGAAAAAATGTGTGCGAAGATAAGTGAGACATTTCCTGCCTGAGGTGTAAACTGAGCCGTTTTCATGTTTAGATTTGGAATCGTTGGAATCAAAGTTGTGACTGAATCGCTGTTAGCAAATTGCAACTGTCAGAGGCACCGCGGTCGACCCAAGTTCCACATCAGCTTGGTGCAGTGTTTAAGTTTCAAGGCTCACCGGCTCACCCCTGTCCCGAAGTTAGCTGCGCCAGCACGGCCACGATGCCCATGGTGCGCTGGCTTCTTCTTCCACTGGTGGTGGCCTATCCCACCCCTCCAGAACAAACTGCAGATCAACTCGAAATCATGGAGCGCGCCAGGGCCAGAGCCAAAGTTGCCTCGGCAGCCGCCACACCCAGCGTTTTGGCTTTCTTCGATTCAACGCCTTTCCGCCAGATGTTGAAGGACTGCTGCTCCGCTGTGGCCGATCTCCCTGCTGATGAGTTGCTACAGCGCTACCGGGCAGAAGCTCAGGTGGCCGAGTTGGCCCATGCCTTGCCAGCCACCAAGCAGCAACGCACGCCCTCGGTGGATGTGACCATTTCGGAACTGGGCAAAATGGCGTGGTTTCCCAACGAGTTCCAGGAGGCCATGCTGCATGGGCAGAATGGATCCTCCCAGGGTTCGGAGATTTCGGACGATGCGATGAAGGAGATTTTTGGCTGTAAAGCCTTTACTGGAGCTCAACCTACGTGGGAGGAAGCTTCCAGTCGTTTGATCTATGTGGCACACAACTTGCGACGTTTGGACACCGGTTCTGAACCTCATTTTGGAGATTTCACCGTGATCTTCAACAGCAGCCGAATGAAGGACGCTGTGCTTATTGCACCTTATGACACCGGCATGTACACCATGAAATGTTTACATCCGGATCTTCATCCTGGAAACATCAGTCTTCAAAATCTTGCAGGTCCACATGGTCCACCACACATGCCGGATTTGAATTGCAGCGCTTGGAGCAAGGATCGAAAAGTAGATGTTCCAGTGGGAACTTTGGATTATTTGGATCACCTCATTTTGCCTAACCTTTGGTCCCCCATCAACAGCTCGGTTACCAATGAGACGGTGCTGGATGCTGCACGTGTCCTCTTCAGTCGGAGTGCCATCTCTGGCATCGATTACCGGAGTGTACCGGCCATTGCGCAGCGAGAACGAACCTCGCCGCGACAAACTCATCACGAGTCTCTGTTCTTTGGGGACCTATAAGTGACATATATGTATACATATGTGACATATCGTGACATATCGTGACATATCCAATGTCCAAAAATTGGGAAGATGATCATATCAAACTATCCCAACTGTGTATTTGTTTTAGCTCACGCCGCCTCTAACGACCCCAGGCGGTTTGCCTCACGACTTCAGATGTTCTCACGTCAGGTAGAAGTTTTGGGTGTCAACGCCACTAAGAGGCCATGTGCGTGTTGTGATTTTTTTGGGGGGGTGGGGGGGGGTGGGGTGGGCTAATAATGTTCATTGCTGTGCGTTCTCTTACACTTCTGCACATACGTCATGCTACGTTGCTGTACGTTCTCTTACACTTCTGATGGTGTGGGGTGGGGGGTGGGATGTTAACGTTCCTTGCACTTCGTACATTACATGTTGCTACGCTGTAGAGATCTCTGGGATCGTTGCTACGTCACATGTTGTTACGCTGCTGATGGTGTGGGGTGGGGTGGGGTGGGGGGTGGGACGTTAACGTTCCTTGCACTTCGTACATTACATGTTGCTACGCTGTAGAGATCTCTGGGATCGTTGCTACGTCACATGGTGTTACGCTGCTGATGGTGTGGGGTGGGGTGGGGGGTGGGATGTTAACGTTCCTTGCACTTCGTACATTACATGTTGCTACGCTGTGGGGTGGGGGGTGGAGATGCAATGTGGCCAATCAAACGATTCGAGATTACATATACAGTTTTGTGTGGAGATGCAATGTGGCCAAGGATGCGAGATTGAAAGAACTTGGCACGTTGGCAAAGACTTGCAAGTGAAAAAACACAAAAACTTCTTTTTTTTAATGTATGGGGACAAAAAATGAATGCTTCGACCACTGTAAATTCATGAAAACGACTACAAAGTCATGCAAATACCAATAGAAATGCAAGTCATGTCAAAATGCGAATGCCACAAAACCCTGGAAGGGTTGCAAAACTGCAAACTGAGATGCTGGAAAAAAGGTCAAATTGCGCGGGGTCAATGCGGGCGGCGTGACCTTGTTTTAGCATGTTGTAGGTTTTTGATGGTTTTTGGGGCTTTGCGTGTTGGTTCGCAGCATCTTGGGTATCCCATATTTTATGGTGTCCCATGGTGTCCCATGGTGTCCCAGGGTGTCCCAGGGTGTCCCTATCTACGCCCCGCCCAGGAAACGACTATTTCGAGTCCAACGTCTTGGCCAATCCCCCGTTGCCGGGTGCGGTGAAGCTGGGCATCGGCAATTTCGCCAGCCTCTTTGGAACCGACAAAGGCTTGGATCTCCAGCAGATCGCGTCGAAGTTCCAGTGGCCACTCTTCTGGGCTTACGGTGAAGGAATACAAACAGGACTGGATTCGATTCTGGCTTTAACTTCGACTTTGATAGACTTAGCTGGTTAAGGAAACCAAGGAGATGGTGTTTTTATTTTTGTCGCTGATTTTTCCATTTGCCTGCTTGGGAGTGCTTATGGAGCCACACGTTGCCACATTATTTTTCAGTTTCACATGTTTCAGACGTAATTCAGACGTAACACGTAGAGGACCTCATCCTCCTCAGGGACCGAGCCAACCCAGTCAGAAGCAGACGTTGAATCGTCGCTTCGCAGATCCCAGCATCGTCAACGTCAGCAATGCCACGATCAGTAGCGCTGCAGCCCAGCAGTTCCAGACCGTTTGGAACGAAGCGAAGAAACTCCGTCAGGTCCGTCCGATCACGGATGACGATTTGTCGAAATGGTGGGAATCTCTGTCGGAACAGGTTCAGGTCGCGCCCGTCTCTGCAACTTCCTGTGCTCAGCCACATCACTGCATTGGAGTGACCCTTTCTGGTCATGATTGCATGTGTAAGCAGACACTGGACAAAGTGAAGAAAGTGGAGAACGTGGAGACCGAGAGTTTCACGGTTTAGACATGTGGCTGGTAGGGGCCTAGCAGATCTTCGCAGCCTTGAGGCCTCCAATTCTCGATGTGCACTTGGCACGTCGAGAAGTTTATGCAGCAGGTTTTGTTCGCTTTGCTGCCAATCCCATATCCCAACATATGATTTCAAGTCATACTGGTCCGGCCCTGAACACGTCTTTTGGACGGATTTCAAAGGGAAAAGACGAGTGTTTTGTGCGTAGCGTGCTGTGAATCTGCTGGCATATGGTCACGACATGTTTCAAACTCATGGGTGAGGAGCGTCATCCCAAGGCTTTAGCGGATGGAAAGGCGGCATGAAAGCAGCAAGCCTTGGCAATGAAACAGTTCCATGCCATCATAGCATCATAGTTGCACATCATGTCCACCCTGTATATTCATGTATATTCATGATATGCCAACCTGGCTGCATGGTAAAGCATGAACATCCTCCTTCCAGACAAGACCTAAGAAACCTCGAAAACACGATTCAGCAATCCCAAGCTGTATCGACATCGACTGAAACCATGGCGAGCCCCTTGGGAGAGTGGGTTCTTCGGGCAAACATCATGCAATGCGAGGTCATTTTGAAGTGGACTCTGCTTCTTTTTCCACATGTCAAAGGGACGAAAAAGATCGAAAGTGGTTTGGATGTGTTTGGATCATGCCCCTGGTCCTCTGCCAAGATTTCATATGATTTCATATGATTTCGTATGATTTCATATTGAAAACTTACCCAGCCTCCTAGATTTCATTTAAAATAAACGGCCAAAACCACCATGAAAGCCATCTCCGAATGCGCCCCTGCGCCAGGATGCGGTGCTGGGTCGGATCCATTTCCTCGAGAGCGGTGAGTTGGTCTACCTGACCACTGCAGGGGATCTGTTGGGCCGTGGCATCGGACAATGGATCGAAGGGATCGAAGGGATCAAAGGATCCGGATCTGTGGCGTTTCAGCTGGATATCTTTCAGTACGAGGTGGGACCAATCGTGGGACCAATCGTGGGACCAATCGTGGGACCTGATGATTGGTATATATTGGTATGATTGGTGATCACCTGCTGAGTTTGATGGCCTCAAGTTGATGAATTTCATGACATTTGATGGGAAAAAAATGGAAAAAACATGACAAAACTGAGTGAGGCCACCTCCAAGAAGCATGTACAGCCAAATCCTCAGAGATTTTTGTTGCTTTGGTGAACTTTGGTGCGCCGAAAGTTTTTTGTTCCCCAAGCTCCAGGTGATTTGTGACGTCTGGAGCTGATTTGGACCTTAAGGACCGAGCCGCACCGTTTCAGAGGCTTCGGCAAGTTGCCAGAGGGCAAGGCCGCCTGGGTCGGAGAGTGGTCCGCAGCTCAGTGACGGCTGTCAATTTTACATATTTTACTCCCCAAAATATCCCAAATGTTATGGATGTTATGGATTGAATCATCATTGTTCCCCTACAGTTTGACACTTGGTGTTTTATCATCATATATCGAAAATATATCTGATGATTCTGATGTATCATCATTTCTGCACATTTGAATTGTTTTTCTGCAATAAAACATTGGTAACCATCCTTTGGGGACTGCCAATATCCCAAGATTTCCCATGATTTGCCAACGACCTGAGGCAATACTTGGTTTTTCAACAGCCTCCACGCGTTGTGGGTCGCTTCCATGCCTGTAGATCCACACCAACTTTAGCTATGCCCATGCTTTCTCAAAAACCCTTGGAGGACTGCTACGCACAAGGTAACTTGAAGCAACTTGAGGTGGCCTGTCATAATATTTTTGTATATTTTTGTGATCTAGAGAAGTCATTAAGAACTTTGAAGAACTTTAAAGAACTTTGAACTTATTCAAATTTGACACAGTTTATCAGCATCAGCAATCATCCCGGCAAACGTGGTCGCAGGAGTTACCTTCCAAGATGAAAACCGCCATGACTTCCAAACTGGAGAAGTTGTCCGAGACTTTTCCAATGATGCAACCCAGTTGGGTTCCTCACCATCTTCCAGGCGTTGATGGCGTTGATGGCGTTGCCATCCTGAGTGTGTCGCATGTTGTCGCTGTGGGGGGATGGTTTCATGTTTCACTTGACCCACCAGGAAAGATTCAAGACGTTCATTACGTGCGGAATTTCCTGGAGACTGGCACCCAGAAACACCAGAAACACACGGAAAGATTTGATGAAGTGAAAATCGCAGAGTTTAAGACCTGCTGTTTGAACCACGGAGATGCATAGCGCATGGTTTGACTCAGAGGACTTTGCTTTCATTCACCGAATTGTTAGGGACTACAGGAACATATTTGCAGAAAAAAGTTCATTTAGATTGACACAAATGTAGACAAATTGACATTTGTATACATTTGTATACATGTATTGCGAATTTCCATCATTTTTTTCTCCATCATTTTCCCTATATTAATGGAAAATATAGGAATTTTCCCTATATTTTCCCTATATTTTCTATATATTTTCCTAGCGATCCATCTGGAGCCATTTTCACATCGGGCCTCGGCCTCGGCTCCCGCTCCCTGGGCTCCCTGGGCTCAGGCCGAAACAGGTGGAGGAGTTCGAACGGATCATCGAAAAGACCTGTGACTGGGAACGAATGAACACCCGCGACACGCAGGAGTTGGGATCCCCAGGGCCGGCAAGGGCCGGCAGCCCGGCCGATCCCCGGGGCCGAAGCCAGCCATTGCCATGGGAATGAAAGCCATTGGGAAAACTCGTTTTTTTCAAGGGTTTTCAAGGGATTTCAAGGGATAGAGATCGGATAGAGATCGGAACCAAGTGGAAAGAGATGAGGGATGTTCTTGAGATTTTGAAGCCATGGAAAGCAAAATCGTGTGGGAACATTGCCTTTCAACAATGATTTCAATAACAAAACAACATCTGTAATCCTTTGGATATCAAACGTATCTCATCCAAAAACAGGAGAACTTTGTTTTCCTCCAAAATTGATCAATATTGATATCACTGTTTATATATATATATCAACATATCAAACATATCATCACTATTGATCATTATATCAACCATTGATCAAACAACTATAAATATTGATAGATTAACCAATCATTTTTTTTAAATCACCCATTAAAAATCCTTTTGGAATATTCTTCCCCATCCGGTGACGTTTCGTTTCCTACGGCAGGTTTGGCTCATCAGGGCAGTGCCCGTGTGGCAGGAGCCTGATCAAAGCAGCAACTCGACATCTTCGTAACGGTTGGTTTGGAAAAATTGGGCTTTATAATGTGGTTGGTTTAGGGTTAGGCTTAGGTTGATGCAACCACATGTTAACTATATGTTAGATGTTGATTAGTTGATTTAGTTGATTGTTGATTTAGTATAGGTTGATTGTTGATTAGTTGATTAGTATCTGGTTAGTATTTCTGTTGATTATTTGTAATTGATTAGTTTGATGTCTTGCCCTCAAAATCCTACTATGATTGAAAGCATGTTGTTGGCCATTATGATGGGATATTGTTGGAAATTTGTTGGGTGTAGTACCATAATGTACCATATATTACCACATTTCTGGATAATACGGATCAGGAAGCAAAGACTAACAGCCAACAATTGGGGATAGGCGAGAAATGGAAATGAGTCTTCTAAGGCTAACAGTGGGGTAATCTATGGATGCGACCTAGACAACATGGTTTTCTTGGTTTGGAACGGACATGCTGTTTGCAAATGCTTCGCACATTATTTGATATTATTTGCCTTATTGGTGGGTGTTCACAGCATTTGAAACGAGATAGAAAATGCATTGAACCAACATGCCGGTGCCATCATAAAGATCATAAACCGCCAGACATCTCATAAAAGTTGCTATAAAGATTCATCAAGGTTAGTTTTCAAGTTTCCAGTTGGCAAAAAAAACCACCGCTATCGAGATTCAGAAAAGCTGAACCGCAGTTTCCGTATCCGATTCCATTTGCCGAGGCATTACCAGCTTGGCAAAGCACCATGGTCGATGCACTTTGCACCCTGGGTGCTTTCCATCCCGTTTTGTTCCCTCCAAACAGCGTCGAGGACTCAAAGGACTCAAAGGACTCAAAACTGCGCTCAGGATCTGGAGACACCGAGATGTGTAAAATTGTGTAACCATCGTCAAATAATGACAGAATGGGAACGATATCCCAAAAATTCCTTAGTGGTTTCACATCTATATTGTTCATTTTGGATTATTTTTTTGCAGGTTTTTAGTGGATGAAAATACCTCAAACCATGGATGTCATCTCCAGCTGCAGGTTCGCCTCAATGCGTACAAGCCGGGACAAGGCAGGGCCTATCTCTTTTGGGAGCCCGCTTTGGCATGGAGTCAAGATGTGTCAATAGCCAGATTTGGATCGCAGTGCTTTCCCTTCTGCCAGGTATTCATCCGCATTTGGATGGCCCCGTATACTTTCCGAGGGTCCGGGAGCGAGTTGACGCTGCTTATCATAGCCCTTCCTGGCCATGAGCATGTTGTCAGCTTTCCGGTGCGAAGTCCCCACACGAATATCCAAGTGACTTAAGTGACACGATTTGATGACACTTAATTCATCTTAATTCAATGTGATGGTTGTGGCAGTTCCATTCACCATTGGACCATTGGACCATTGGACCATTGGACCATGGCCATTTTTGTGGCGACGGAGGCTGCGATTGTGAGCCTCGGTTCCCATTGCATTTTTGATCTCTACCCACGTGGTGGCCTCAGGGCGCGGTGATGGTGACTGTTTGAGGAAACAAAGAGCTGTGGCCATATTAGAAATTATATATATTATATATATATATAACTTATAACTATAGTATATTCAATAGAGAAGTAGATGATGTAGATATTTTCTCAACTGCGCATTGGTGACATGGAACACTCTCCAGGCACTGGTGACGACGAAAAGCAAGGCTTTACCTGGGATAGAGACAAGGAGGCTCGGGTGCTGGTGCGGCGCGCTGCAGGCGCTGCAGGTTGAGTCAGGTTGATTCAATGGGCGAATGGGACCTGGATGGGTCTCGCAGGTACCAGCTGCTCCAGAGATGCCTCCAGGAACAAAGTGTAGTTCTCAAGTGACGCCAGTTGAGCTTGTGGATCAATGTTACTGGCTATCCGTAATATTCCGTAATCAATGATATATCAATGATATCAATATCCAAAATCGAGAAGCTACGTAAGGGCCATAGAGATATATATATATATATATTTGTTGCCGAAGTGGGCAACGATGGCAACGTCACCAAGGCCCCAATTGAGTCTCCTTTTAGAGCCAGGCAGCCTGTCTCGACCTCAATTGCCATTGACCTGGTAGCTCCAGGTTCGAACTTTCCAAAATACAAAGTTTTCCCCCAAAATTTCCTAAACATTTGAGAGTTTTCCCATGTTTCATGGGTTTTCCCTGTATTTTTCCATACATTTTCCATCTATGTCCCATGTTTCGTGGCATTTTTTCCCACCTTTTCCCATCCCCAACCCCTCCCCTTGTCATCCCTGCGCAGCTTCCCAGGTTGATTTTGTCGGGAGACGCCTTCACCCACCACAGGCACGGCATCAAGGCTTCCGAGGAGGACGAAATCACCCCGCAGGTCGCACAGCCGGTGCTTGGACCAAATTTTGGTGGGAAAATGCTGAAACTTTGGGAAAACCCGTCAAAATTGCACTTTTTTTCTGGGGAAGGGGATATGTTGGGATGGGGATTTCAGCAATGTGGAGTTGATGATGGTTTGCAACAGTTTGCAATAGATGTCACTATCGATGTCGGAGTGCGGGCTAGCGTTTTGTGGAAAGGATCGTGGGATTGAAAAGCCCCCTTCACTGTTTAGAGAATATGATGAATGGCTTTGCCATTCACCATCATCATATTTGTCATATAGATGGTATAGTCAAAGGTATTGGTATAGTCATGTAGTCGGAGTAGTCATATTTATCAAGCCATATCATTCACCCAAAAAGATGGCTACACTTTGGCCCTGACAGGGCAGATATGGCCCCTCCCCCTGACAGGTGAAGAATGCGAAAGACATCGGCCTCTCCATAGGTGATTCATTGAGGTGGATCGATCCTGGAGCTGTTGAGAAAGGTTGATTCAGGGAGATATGTACAGATGTGGGTTACACACACATATCTATATATATATATACACATGTAGCCGAGTTCTAAGTTTAGATATGTTTAGATCCTTGCAAATGTTATAACTTGTAACCTATTGTAGCCCATAGTTGGGATACAGATTTACCAACAATATGTATGATGGGATGGGACAACGGGATATTGTTCATGGCTCAAATGGACAACAACTTTCACATGCTTGGCGAAAAAGCATAACGTTTTCAGCGGGAAAGCCTCCTTAGTTTCCACCAGAAATACCATCTGTGGATGTTTAACTTCTGAATCCGAAAAAAAAAATCCACAGAAGTTAAACATCCACTTGGTGACTGTAATGGTTTTTTAAGCGCCAAGAAAGGTGGTGGATCTTTCCACAGGCGCGGACGCCGGGTCTCTCTGACGATTCGGCACTTGCTGCCGCGTTGCAACTGTCCCTTGGACGGGTGTGGATCAAAACTCAACAGCTAAAGACCCAAAGAAAGTCTGCATACAGATTAATTATACATTATACCTACAAACTCAGCAGTTGATCACACATTAATAATCATTAATACATAGCAGATTATAGCAGATTAATCGACGTATGTATACATATAATCCACATATGCATACACCAATATATGCCAATATGAAATTTGTGTTTTTCGATTGGAGGATGTTTGGTATTCATGAGGTTTGCAGCAGTTTGACACATACACCAACAACCCGCAGCCATGGGTTTCATCGATCATTGCAACAAACTGAGGCAGTCCCGTCTTCTAATCGAGAGCAGCGGTGGCAAAAGAAAGTTCTTGAGACATCGACTTGACCTTGAGGTCTACAGTCTAAATAGCAATACAAAAATGGTCCACTGGGCAAGATTTTATGTGTAACCTTGAGAATTTATCACTTGAAAGCAGAGTTGCAACACAGAAATCCCTGTTGTGTCGGTTCAAGTCTAATTCATGCACGAATTCACCGACATGACTGAGACCTGGAAGGCAGGAAGGGCTGGAAGGGAAGATGCAACAGCACCAACAGCACCAAATCCCATCAGCATCTTGGGAGCAACAAACGCAACAAACGCAACACCATAGCTGCTAGCAAATCCATGCAAATCTGCATGGCTATTGATAGAGAATTGGGAGCTTGATTGTTATTTAAGTTTATTTGTTTCATTAATTGCCATGAAGCGAATCCCCAAACAGGAGCCACATCCTCTAGCCAGTGTAATTGTAGTGACCGCACGCATATAAATATATATATAATATATGGACCTCCCATGATCCTTTGTCTCATCAATCATGGCATCATCGTCAGCTAGTGCCAGTCATTACCATTCATTGCCACTACAAGCAAAGAATCTCCATATGGAAACCATCTCCATTATACCATTGTGGTCGGTATACAGTATATTTTCTACAGTAGAGTTTTTATGAATATTTCATGATATTTCATGAATATCAGCAATTCATAGAGTCAATTCCTCTCATTTGGTCCTGCGTTGGTCAGGAGAATGTGGCCAACGTGGCCCCTGTGGCCACTCGCCGGCCCTTGCGGGAGCTTCAGCTACAGGCAGAAAACGGGCTGAGTGGAGAGGAACGTGAGGCTACAGAGAGGGTAGAAAATCTCCACAATGATATGACGCCGATGCGCGTGTCAAGAACTCTGTGTGGCATATATGGTTTGGATTGCTTCGTGAACCTTGCTATATGTGTAGCTGAGAGTTCCTGAAAGCATGTGTGAAAAAAGGGTACGTCTACCATCTATAGATGTCTATAGAATATCTATACCAAGAATTGGCTTCATTTCTCAGCGCCCACATTTTCAGAGGTGATTTCCTTCACATCAAAACCCGTGGCCCTGGATTTTCTCTTTGCTGCAGCTGTATTCCCGTGTTTTTGCTGTTTCTCTTCAAATCAGGTCCAATGTATAGATCGGTTCATCTTCATGAGTTTTACATTGGGTTTACATTGGGTTTACACATGACATGTTTACACTAGAATTACCACGAATTACCACCCTCCATAGCTCCGAGGCCGGTGAGATCTCCTTGGAGACTGAAACGTTGAAGCGAAAGAGTCGCTGGGCCGCGGATATCGAATTTCGCCTCACTCTCTTTGAGCAGCTGGAGCCAGATCAATGGGATGCGCAGGTGGGAACCATGGGGATATGTTTCCATAGTTTTAGCATGGTTTAGCGATTTTTTTGAAGATATTCAACTGGTAAAATAATGATAGGAGATAGCACCAAGATGCACCAAATCTAAAAATTAGATTGTTTGATAGATGAAAGATGGTGGAGATGATGAATCACCAACAAGAATGGTGTATAGTATAATATGACTATCAAACAAATATGAAAGCATGACCAATGAATGTCTGGAAAGCATCCCAGGCAATTATGAGGGATCCATGCAAATGACACCAACAAAGACTTAGACTTAGAAAATCAGGAAAAGATCAACAGATCAACACCTCAGGTGACCTGATTTTGTCGTGTTTTTTTGGTTGATCTTTTCCTGATTTTCCACAGCTGATTGGCAGGTGGATGTGACTTCTGCAGATGAAGCCCCAGAGACGAGGTTGGAAACACCGGAAAGACAGGACGTCTCTGTAGACGTCTCTGTCCCCGCTTGGGACTTGGAAGTGGATCTTTCACCACCGAAGTTTCCTCACTTTGATCCGGAGCTTCAAGGTGGACAAGGTGAACATTTCGAGTTGCACACCACTTTGGAGCCAGATGGGGATGGGCCAAATGGGGATGGATCAGATGAATGGCCGACCCCACCAGACAGTCCCCTCCCAAAATTCAGAAAGGCACCAATGGAGGATCCTGGTGCTGATGGTGACCACAACCATGGTGACCATGGTGACTATGGCAGTCCTGAGGTGTTCAGCTTTGCCAAATCTGGCGCCATGGAAGCCATTGAAACCCCAATCTGCAGTCCCATTGAAATCATCGAAGCCAGTGTTCGAAGTGCAGAAAGCGAGCATGGAGATCACTTCGATGTAGATACCATCGACACCTGTTTGGATACGACCTTTGACAGTGAAGCACAAAGTCTGTTGCAGATGATGTGTTCCCAACTCAAGAAAGGCTTGAAGGATTCGCCTGAAAGATTGGCAGCATGTGAGGTGAAATCACGGAAACCTTCAGTGAAACTCTCCAAAGTTGCGGTGGAACCGGTGAAACAGGTCCTGACGGTCCCATCTCCTGCGGCTGCTTCCCCTGAGAGTTACGCCACGTCGACGTCGACGTCCACATCTTCAGCTTCCAGATTGAGGTCCAGGACGTTGGAACCGTTGCCATCGTGGAACTTTGATACTCTGAGAGGTTGGGAAAGCGTTTTTTCGGTCTAGAGGTAATTGTGAATTCTTGGAACATTGGAGGTACACTGACACTTAGATTTCAGGCGTGGAATGGTATAGATATGCAACAATATTCAACAGTGAGGAAAATACGGCGCTGAGGTATGAAGGCCGAGGTTTGTTGAACACTTTTAAAGACTTAAAAGGTCACTCTAAGTCCCACACCTTCAGTCCGTGATGGATTTTCCTGGCAGGTTATCTCAACACCTTTCAGCGCTCCAAGATGCGTCAGCAGCAGCGGCAGCAACGACTTCAGCAACTCACCGAGGTCGAGATTTGCTCCCTGCGGTCCCTGCGGTCCCTGCGGACGCCGACGCCGCGGAGGGTGAGATCCCCGGATCGGTGCCCGGATCGGTCTCCGAGATCCGTCCGGGCTGAACGCCAGGTGCCACGGCAGGTGCCACGAGTGCCACGAGTGCCAGGAGTGCTGGACAGAGAGAGATCGGCTGATCGAGTCACGAATGCGTGTGTCACTTCAACTTCAACGGCGTCAGCTCGTTCGGCTTCGTTGAGTGTTCCAGGTGGTGCTCCAGGACCGATGCAAGTGCACTCTCGTGGTGAAGTTTGGATGGAACACCGAAAGAAACGGCAATATCTTCGAAGAGAAGAAGCCAGGCAGGAAGAATTGAAAGAATGCACTTTCAAACCCCAATTGTCGAGTACTCCTCGTGGACGTGTTCTTTCTTCATCTCTTTCATGTCCCAAAATCTCACAGTTCACACCACGTCATGAGTGTCAGCGTCATGAGCATCGTCATGTGGAGCTCTACGATCGACAGATGCAATGGCGACAGCGGCTGGAGGAAAAATGGGATGAAGCGCGACAGCGGAAGCAGAAGGAGTTGGCAGAGCAGATGCAGCTGGCACAGCTGGCACAGCCACAGCCATCACAGCTACGGCTCCGCTCGCCTCGGGAGGTAAATGAAGCCTTTGAACGGTTCCATCAGCGAAGTCGCCAATGGCAACAGGCCTGTGCTCTTCGAGTCTTGAAGGCTCAGAAAAGCACCGAAGAGGCCAAAATGGAGAACTTACAATGTGGAAGGCAGAGAAGTTACACAAAGGACACGGGAGTTCTCCATACTTTCACTACTGGTTTCTACTTTCAGTATCTTTCAGTGTGTTTCTTGTTTGGGAACTTGATCCCAATTTCCATTCCATTCAGAACAGTTGGTTCATCCAGGATGTAACAAAAGCCAGCAGAAGGGCCTCCAGAGATGCAAAGGAATTGAAAACATGTCGAGTGAGTCGAGTATCTTGCCTGTGAGATCCTGTGAGATCCTGTGAGTCTGTCAATCTGTTGGCAGTTTCGGTTGTGTTAAAAGATGTGAAAAGCTGAATGATGTGGAGGACCGTGGGTGAGCCCGAGTGATCATGCGTTCAATGCACATCTTCCACAAAATGATTGAACAAATTGAACATTGGAAGTAGCCAATTCACATCAATCCACCAAACCCACCAACAAAACACCAGGAAACATGGAGAAACCCGGGAAGTGATTCCAAGATATTCCAAGCTGCACCCGCTTGAAACTGCTGAGGCACGTTCAGAAGAGCCGAAGTGCCGAGACACGCCAAGGCCTTTCTCAAACTTCGACCTGTGGCGAATAACTGGTGCATTCCATGCATTCCATGCATTCCATGCATTCCATGCATTCCATGTTGCAGAAATCGTTGAAATTCTATGCTTCATTCAGGTCCGACTCAAAGCCATTGAGATTTGGATAGTTTTGGGGCACTGCGAAGTTTCAGGAAGTTTCAGGTCATGATGGCAAGTAGTAGATCCGCAGCAACGAGCTGAGGAAAAAATGGCAAGTAGATGCAAGTAGTATCAAGTAGTAATACACCATAAGTGCCATAAGTGGTATCCCCATTCTCTGCAGATCACCATGGTGGCTGAAGTCGTTCAACTGGTTGTTCAACTTGCAACCAGGTCCAAAGCTGAAAGGCACGAAGTTCATCGACATTTGCAGGACCCAGACGTGGAGATGTCACACGCAGCAAGGATTTGCTACAGCTGATGAAGTCAATTTTGATCATATATCAAGTTAGACAAGTTAGATGATCAAACTGATTGATGTTTCCCAGATCTTTCTGTCCTAGATTTTTGTGTGAATGCCACCTCCTTTTGCTGTGATTCCGCTGGCGCATTTCCGCAGACCTTACGGCGTGCTCTTTTCGACTCCAAGTTGCCGCCTTGGTGATTTTGCCATAGTTTACTGTGAACATTGGAATATATTGGAATCCTCAGAAAAATACGAGCCACCACTCTGAAGATATTGGTCGAATTGCCGATATTTTTGGAAAAGGGTATCAACATATATCAAACACATCTAGAAAGAAACCAGCTAGTAACAGCTCGTGAACATAATCCAAAATCAAATGAAGATGCTGAGAAGAAGAAAACGTAAGGCACATCATCTACAAGACATCATGTTTTATTTCACATTCATGTAACATTCATATCTGACACACACACATACATATAAATATATTATATACTGTATATATCTGTGTATATATATATATATATATCAGATATCATTTATACGACATAACCCAAGAATTCCTAAGGCCTATGACGAATCCATGACGAATCCATGACGGATCTCATGAACTTCCCGAGGCAATGGCATGGCACCTCCCCCAGGTGGCAGAAGGCCTTGCAAGTTGAGGCCTGGAGTGAAAAAATCAGAACTTACCAGGTGGGATATATGGGAAATATGTGGGAAACATACGGGAAATACTGGTGGATACATCAATCAATCAATCAGAAATTGAGTTCCAAAATATTTAGGAATGTTTCATGGAGATATTGGGGATATTGGCATGCGAAGGTGACTGAGCTTGCCAGTTTTGCTGTAGACAGAATGGTTGAACCATGTTTGGGAGGGGTCCGGCAATTTGCGCTTGAGTGCATTTTTTCGTTTATCCAGATAAACGAAATGAAACAACCAAGACTTGGGGATGCGCCGTTTGCTCGAAGTTTCAAACATGAACAGGCCGGTCTTTTTGGACACGCTCATCCACATTTCGCCTTTTCTAGTAGAATCCTGACCATGTCGGCTGTTTTAATCAAATTACATCAAGTTAAATCAACTTCAGTCCCGAGTCGTTTGACTTTGAAGCCCAAGATGTTTGAACAAAATCAGAACCCAAAATTGAACCCAAAGAAAAGAACGCATATGTGTTGTCCATGTTTTTTTCCATGTTTTTTTCCTATGTATCCAATGGAAAGGGTCCCACTTTTCTTCCAGGTGGCACGCTCGGAGGGCGCTGGCGCAGCGCCGATTAAAATTAGTTGAACCAAAAATCGGTGGAGCTACCGCCGAAGAAAACGGCGGATCCAAACCGACTGAGGATGGAAGAGATGGAAGAGATGGAAATGTTGAAGGATGGAAATTGTTGAAAAAAACTGAAGTTGTGAAAAGTTGTGATGTTGAAAACTGTTAAACTGTTAAACTGTAGTGCAGACTCGGATTTGGTGGATGGAAATCCTGAACATGCAATGCATCAACGTGCATCAACATGTATCAAGAGATTGCTGGTTTTGTCGTGAATTTGCTCCTCAATTCGGAGTTTGTGACTCAAATGATAGAGATACTTCTGAGTGCAGTGACAGACATCAAAAGAACATAGTGTAGACCAAAAGCATCTTATGGTGAAAGACACTTACTATGGGTATTCTTGAAAGGTGCTGAGAAAGCATGAGAAAGCTTCATGATTTGCTCGCCCCATCGCTAATGTCTGCCAAAGTCAGCCGACGCATGGCGTTGTGCCGCTTTGCTGGTGATGCCGATGACTCAGATGAGCGAGTTCAGCGAGTTCAGCGAGTTCGCAGGTGATGATGCGTTGCAGACATTGCATGTAATTCAAAATTTGCAGCTGAAACTGCGGAAAGCATCTCATGAAGTTCAGATTCATAGACAGAGTGCTGCGAAAGCAGAAGCGGCGTTGCAAAGTCAAGCCATGCGACATTTGTCACAAGCTGAACTTCAACAGGAAAGTATGTTGTCTTTACAAGAGGCATTTCAGGAAAGAGATGCTGAATGCGTTTACACGGAGCGATTGATTTCAGAACTTCAAGCATTTCAATCTGAGTTGCTGGTGAACGAACAGAATGAACGGGCCTTTGTACATCGTGAACAACACGAGTTCTTGCAATCGGAATTTGAAACGTTGCAAGATGAGATGCAAACAGCTGCCGAGAGCAATGCTGCAGTGGCCAGAACTTTAGAGGAAACGAAGGAAGCGAAGCGTCGTCGAGATGAGTTGATCATTGACAAAATCAACGAAACTCGTGAGATGCATTGGCAAAGTCAGCGAAATGCCTTGGAAGCTAAACGCCGTGGCAATGCCGTGTCCAGCCGAGCAGTAGCAGAGGAACAACTAAGAGCTTCAAGGGCGCAGAAATCATGTGCTCAACTTTTGACAAATCAAAAGGCAGATTTCGAAGCTCAACTGGATGAGGCCTATCGTCAGTCTGCCTCCATCGAACAACGAATGGAAGGACTTCGAGAACGAAATCGACAGTTGGAGCTTCAAATGACCAAGGAGAAGACGGAATTTGAAAAACAAAAGAAGGAAATGGTCCAAAAGTTGCGGAAACAAAGCGCTGCTTTCAGAACCTTTTCGAATCTGTTGGATGAGCCCTGGCTGGATGCATGAGATTGAAAGAGGTCAACGATGGTCAACGATGGTCAATGTCGGTGCGCGCCAAAAACGGTGTGCCAGTGCAGCAAAACTGGAGTATACCGGAGTCTAGTGACTTTATAATCTTTATAGTGAGTGTAGTAGGTGCATCCAGGGAGTTCTCTGGCTTCAAAGCTCTAAGTTTAATGTGGTAAACCGCAAGCCCAATGTCATAAACCATCATAAACCATCATTAACCATCATAAACCATCAAGATTGACTTTACCAGACAGTTGTTTTTTTTCAACCATCACAATCAGCTGGTGATCCACTGCAGATGGGCTCAGTCAAAGGGAGGAGTTCGGCAAGCGGCTTGGCATCAGGCAGGGTTTCAACATGTTTGAACTGACAGATTTTCGGATTTGTTTCACTTTTTGATGAAGATATGGAAATTCAAGATATATCGATATCTATATTGATAGATATTTCATGATACATTTGTTACCGTGTTTGTTACATGGTGTCGTGTCGATTTCTGCAAAGCCCCAGCTGTTGCACGTCCAGGCTGTGATGCCAGAGGAGCCGCCGGAGCCCAGCCCGGGGCCAGTGACCATAGTGACATATAGTGACAAAGTGTAGATGAAGAAAGTAGATGAAGAAAGTAGATGAACATTAGTATATCAATGATTATCAGTGTTAGTATCAATGGTTAGATTTAGATGATTAGTAGATGATTAGTGTAGATGTATCACAATGTAGTACCGCAACAATGAAATGTTTGTATATTTCTGTGTTTGAATTGTATTTGGATGGAATATGAATGGTACGCAATGTCGTATTGGTTACTGTAATACGAACATGACATTGCATTGACTTTTGGCCAGGACACAGCTGAAGTGGGCGACTCAGGAGATGCAAACAGCTTAAACAGCATCGAACAACGTATTTCATGATATATTCCAAGATAGAACAATGTTCGTAATGATCTTCATGGTGGTCCATAGTTCTCTCTCTATATTTGTTTCAATTGTTTCTGAAAAACACACAGACTCATATATATATATATTAATTACTATAGAATACTACAGACATTGTGATATGTATCCATGTACATCAATGTGTACTACAAAAACCCTACAAATCGCAAAAACATATTGATCATAAATCAATGATATTGTGATCCTGATGAGATCAGAATCTCAATGAATCTCATTTATCCAATTGATTCCAATTGATTCCAATTGGATCAATTGGTCCCAGGCCAACACAATTGGTTCAACACAATTGGTTCAACCGTTGGTTCAACCGTTGGTTTACCGAGGTGTTGGCCTGGGATGGCCTGGCACAATGTGTCGATCACCTGAGATCCTCCTTGGAATCCTGGAGTTGTCAGGAGCTCCGTGGAGTCCAGAGATCTCGTGGATATATGCTGGATATATGTCATATATATGTAATATATATATAGTATTATAAAATTATATATTGGATATCTGAGATGATATGATTGAAAATTGAGATATTCAGAATATTCATGATCCCTTTTTCTATCTTTTGCTGTGTTTTCAGATGATTCGAAACTTGAGGAAATTCTTTTGATACCCTGAAAACAATATAGTTGATGATGATTTTTTCAAGTTTGCCTGACAGTTGAAGCACGAGTGTATCAATATATTCATATATATCTATACTAACTCTATGCGCAGTATAGATATTGGATAACTTTGGATAGGGAAGATATCATCCCATTCACAAGCACTGCCGGGCACGAACGCACCAGGAGCGGGTTCGAGCTCTCGAGCGGCAAAGCGATGCTGCTCAGGCTCAACAGGCAGAACTCAGCTGGAAACGGAAAAAATACGGAACAAAAACCAGTGAAGAGATTCTTTGCGGAACTAATCATGTTTGATATAAGATGATCTGCGTATTTTCCCGTGAACGACTGGATTCTCACCAGGACGCTGCTGCTGTCACCTCCGCTTTGCGCAAAACCTCCTTTGAGGAGTGGTGGTGGCCATGGTGGCCATGGTGGCCATGGTGGCCATGGTGGCCATGCCATGGAAATGGGTAAATCCATGGGCAAATCATGGGAAAATCATCAAATAGGAAGTCCATGATATGGGCAAATCAGGGTAAATGACATCTATGAAATTCTATGAATGGGAAATTACCGGGTAAATGGAGATCAAAAGGAGATAGATATCCAAAAATAGTGACGTCGCAAACCTATATTTCTTCCTCCTTAGAGGCTGTTCGAACAATTTTTGTCAAATGTGATCGTTATTTTTTCATGTGAAAAAATCATTGTGCAGTGTATTTGCATGACATCCCCATGATTTTTGGATATGTTTGGATATATTCCCATGACATCCCCATAGAATCCCCATGTTGAAACCATCCAGGAGCCTTGGGAGCAAAGTGTGTCCGCCCTGTTGCGAAATGCCAAGACGCAGAGGGAGGAGTTCCTGAAGGTCTTGGAGCTGCTGCGGAAACACACCAAGTTCCTGAAATCCGAGCTGCGCTCAGATGAGATGTATGGAAGATGGAAACATATGGGAAGATATGGGAAGATGAATATAATATTTAATCTGTATATATATTTAAAGATCATTGAAAGTTGCAGTCAGAAGTTGTTTCTATGGTTTTGAAGCTGTTGATTTGAGTCAGTTTATGTCAGGATTCCAACTTGGCAGAGAAGATTCCGAAGGACCAAAGACTGGATGGGCAAAAAGATCTCCAGCCGAAACGTTAAAACATGGAAGACACAACCTTGTACCGTATCCAATCTGGGAGGGTTTTCCATGAGTCGAAGTCATCATGATCCAAGACATAATCCAAACAAATGATGAAACAGAAATGATGAAACAGACTTAAACAGACTTAAACAGACATGATTTACTGATGATGTTTCACCATTTCTCACCATTTTTTCCATGAATTCATGGTGGATCCTTTGCGGATGCGGAGGATGCCCAGTTGGCTCCGGAGAAACTGCCGAGGCTTTGGATTTCGCGGTCGGGATGGCCAAAAATGGAGATGGCCACGAGTTCTGATAGTTTTTTTTCCTTTAAACGTTCTGTATATTTATATTTATATCATTTAATATCATTTATATCATATATCTTCAATCAATATTGAACATTAACCATGATACGAACCATGATACGAACCATTGTGAACGATTCCTGGGACTAGGATGGTTGTGATTTTTTGATTCCATTCCCCAATTCGTACATGCAAAGATGTGAAGTACATATGGGTCTTTATATACATACACTCTCACACACACATAGACTCATATATATATAATATACACATAATGTTACTTGTATATCCATAGATCTACCCGTTCATAAAGATATGTCTTCGCATGTATGTTATATGCATGTTATTTCCATAGATTTCCATATAAAGATCACAATGGTGACATGTCCATGTCCCTTATCCTGCTCAGCCTGGTGACGCGATTCCTGGAAAACATGGCCCAAAGCTCAAAGTGTCATGCCGTCGTCCCTAAAACCACTTGGTTTGGCCATGGCTGAAGCGAAATTTTGGTCAACACAGTTTGCAAGTTGACTGACATTTTGAAGACGTTAAAACAAAGTCCAAGGTGTTGTTCATAGTGCCACAGTGCCATAGTGCCATAGTGCCTAGTGCCTGATTCAAGGTGGAAGTGAAACCCAAGGTGCGACGCTGATACACGGTGATACTCATGGATACCTCATGGATACCTCATGGATACCTCATGATGTTTGTTTTTTCTGTTGTTCTTTGACAGCCTTGACAGCAGCATGTTTAGGCAAAGGAAAAGAAGACAAAGGACGAACTGCGAATATTTGGTGCCACAGTGCCACCTTTTGTTTTCATCATGGATGTTTATCATTTCATTTGGATTCATTTGGTTGGATGCCAGTTGTGGTTCAGGCTGTCCTCATATGTTCAGGATGACAAAGAGAAAAAATCCAAGTCAACCGAAGCAGAAGATGAGGCTTGACATGGCCTGACAGCTTTGAAGTTGCGGCTCTTCGATTTTCGAGTGTGGATTCCTGTGCCCTTGGAAAAGTTGACAGGAGAAGGATGAGGATGACGAGGATGATGAGGACGAAAAAGAGGAAAAAGAGGAGAACAAGTCGATTTGGTTTTCAATGTTTTCGATTCTCTGCAAGGTCATTCCTTGCTGCACATTGTGAGGAAAAAGTCAAAAAGAAAGGCAAAGAGAAGGGGAAAGATGGGAAAGATGGGAAAGATGGGAAAGACAAAACGAGCAAAACCAACCGGAACCGGAAAGAAAGGACCAAAGAGGCCAGACGTCGACATCGACATCGGATGCTGTGCCATCTGTACAAAATCCGACAAGTCGACTCCGATTCAGGATCGAAAGAGACGTCGAAAGTCCGGAAAGGACGAACTGAGCAGTTGAACTTGAACTTCATCACATGTTTAGACGTTGAAATCGTTTTTCCATTTTTTCCTCAGTCTTCAATCTTGAATCGAGACGCATCACACTGCATTTGTCTCAGAATGGGAATACCGGAAAATACTTTTCAACATACTAATTAGCAATCATTAATAATCATTAACAATCATTATTTAAGCGCTTACGCGCGACAGCCGGCCAGGGGCCCAACTATGTTGACCTGCTTCTTCTTGTTGTTGTTGTTGTTGTTGTTGTTGCGGTGGTTGTGGTTGTGGTTGTGGTTGTGGTTGTGGTCGTTGTTGTGGTTGTTGGTTGTTGGTGGCTGGTTGGTTGTTGGTGGTTGGCGGTTGGTTGTTGGTTGTTGGGCCCATTTTGTGCCATCTTGGTCCGATGTTAGCCCATCTTTGGGCCCATGTTGCGCCCATCTTGGGGCTATGTTTGCTCATCTTGGGCCTATGTTAGCCCATCTTGGGCCCATGTTGCGCCCATTTTGGGGCAATGTTCGCCTATGTTGGGGCCATCGTGGGCCGATGTTGAGGCATCTTGGGGCTATGTTGGGGCATCTTGGGGCTATGTTGGGCGATCGTGCGCGATGTTAGTGCAAAAACATGTTGAATGTCACAGGGCCAAAAAAACACTGTAAATTACAGGGGTTTCTGTCGACACGCGCACCCCACCGCGAGGTCAGGGGCAG